TACAGGAATCAACTGATCTTATGTTTAAAAGCAATATCGAACTAAACCACAAACCTGAAGCACACCTGGAAACAGGAATTTTAAAAACACGACATGCTCCGATGAGAATATTTCAGTTCAATTTCATCTTCGTTGTATCCTACGTTATTTAGGCTGGTAACACAAAATGATCATAGAAATAACTTACATGATATAATACATATCAATAAATAAGAATTAGTAGTATTCATTGATAACGAAGTGCAGCAACAGCGGCAATCCTTTTTATTGCCAGCTGCTGATAAGCCTAAATGTAAATAAAAGATCAAGAAAAATATATGTTATCCATCAAACAAACAGAGAGTCAGTGTCAGTATCCATCATACCTCTCGCCTTAACAAATCCATTTCCCTTTTACTAAGATCACACGTGATGACTCGGCATCGACTAACTTATAGCATTCGATCGTAACTTCAAAGATTTCAAGCATTCGATACCATTTCTTTTTGCAACAGAATCCCGAAAAAGCCGCCACTTACCCGGTGTAAAATCAAGTATTAAAGTCCTTAACAACATGAGGGGTTTTACTTTTGAAGTTGCATACAAATACCTAATTTTCATGAAGCTGAAATATTTGGTACATAACTATGGGATGGAAAACAGAATCAGTAGCTCTAATGTAAGCGACAGATGTTCCATACCCGTATCTTTATCTTTAAAAACCAGAAAACCGATTCAAGGGCAAGTGTGTATCCTTGACCATCTAGTGACCTTCCCTCGTGTAGCGAAATATGTGCCGTGGAGTTGTCTGGACAACTTTCCGAAAGCTGTTAGCCAAATTAACTCTGCTGAGCCAGATCTTCCTTCCTAGACAATGAAAACTCTACTCTAGAATGTTCTCTTAATTATATCAGGTATCTTGGGGCTCGCTGTAAATTCATCTCAATTTGTAAATGCAACTTCTCAAGAACACCGTTGTATGAATGCCTAGTAAATCACTATGCTATGACGCATAGGATTTTTGAGGAACGGAGCGCGCATCAGAAGTCCCCAAAAGAATATTAAGTGAGGACTAAAGAAACATGAAATTCACGGTGAAAGAGCAAGGACCTCTCGAATAACGTAGAACCTTGTGGAGAGATCAGGTAAATTTTATAGTGACGCAACCAAACTACTTCAAAGTCCCCTTCCACTGGGGCAAGATGAACAATATCCCCCCTTGTGGCTCATACATTTTAATTATTTACGCATCTGCCCGAAAGCCTGATTAAAGAAGGAAAAAGAAGCAAATGTTTTTTAGTTAGCCAGACCAGAAACATTTACTGCAGAGACAGGTTTAGCGGCTAAGAAAAAAGACAATGCTTTCTTCCTCACATGACGCAGATGATGCTTTCTAAAACTATTTTTAGCGGCTTTGCCACTACGAAATAAGTGTTGACTAGTTTCCATCGCAGCTCCTCAATGTGTCCTAAGAACTGGGACCGTCAACAATGGCCAGCGGCAAAGTCGAAATCGAGGAGACTCTGATAGGTCCCAAAATAGGAGAGGGAAAAAAAGGAAGATTAAAAATGCAAATGAAAAATACAGAGGGTCACTCTATTATTCAGTGCACACGTGGCCACTCATCCGCAAGGTTTCCTTGCTTAGCCATCGGGAAGGAAACCCTCATACAAAATGAACAATCCCGCACACATAACAAGGAACGATCCATAGCAGTATTTCCTGATGATTTTAATCGTTACTGCCTATGCAAAAGTCAAGTTATAAATATTGTTTCAATAAAGTGTCAGTTAATAACATAAATTTTCCTCAATCATAGATCTATTTTTTATTTACGTACATGTAGAAGTCTCTGACACACTCAAAATAACACAATGATTTTAAGAAAGCTTATTTTACGACTCAGCTTCCTTATTAGAACTATCAAAACTGGGTTTACGCGACTTTACGTATACAATTTGAATGAACTAAACGAGAACTGAGTGACTTCTTGTCTGATGCTGGGCGCATCGTTCATCTCCTTCCCAATTCATGCGCACTAAGTCTTCTTCCTTATTTTTGTTTTTTGTTCTTTTAATTTTTTGTTGGCGTTACTGCTTAAGTAATGTTCATAACAGCTAACATCATTCTCATCTTCATGCAGTTTAATTATCGAAGCATCTGCCCAAAGGCCTGGCTAAACTTGGAAACATCATTGCGGTGGTAAAATGCAAGAAGCAAATGTTGCGGAAATAAAGAAAGAAGATGAGGCTTTTGCTTTAGGTCACAAATGCTTTTTCCTCCAAGCCACAAATTATGCTGATATAAAAAAATTTACCCGGTTTAGCCAAAATTAAAGCAATGTAGACTAGTTTCCAGTATTATTAATTGTAATGTGTCCTATTTGGACGGCGAAGGCTTAGCAATGGTTAATGGCGAAGTCAGTAGAAGACAATTAAGCCATCCTGGAAACGTGAAAAGAAACAATCCATCACAATATTACTTGTTTTCATACCTTGAAGCCTTTAATTGTGATGCAGTGCTAATTAAAGGCATAAATTTTCTTCAATAAGGGATTCACATTTCATTTCCTGAGAGGTCTATGGCACACTCAAACAAATTTATTAATATTAAGTACTGTCAAAATTACTAATCTTAGTACTATCAAAAGCACGGTTTCCGTGTACACGACTTGATCTAAACGAGAACTGAGTGACTTCTTGTCTGATGCCATTCACATCGTTTATCTCCTGCCTAAAGAACAGAATATACATTTTGGGCAAAAATAGACAACAAAGGAAACCATAGGCGCTCAACAGAGTTGTTACACAATCCACAACCGTTACATACCATCCAACCATGGACAATTCTACCGGGTGATAACAAAGCAATGAGAACAAAAATATGTACATGGAAAAGGCGATTCGTTTGGCCTCGCTGAAATTTTCAGGAATCTTCCTTATCTTAAAGGCACAGAACGTGGACAAAAGCATTTGGAAGAAAATATAAAAACATGTTGCTAAGAATAGAGATTTTCCAACTGAGCTAGAGTATGCCTTGCATTCGTTAAAGGTGTAACGTTTCGGATAGATATGTTGCTTGTTAAAGGGTGGATTCAAAAGCAACCATGGCATCAACACCAACAACAGTGGAGCTAGAGATGCTATAACAATCCCAACTTGTGCTTTGTTTGAGAGAGAAGTGAATTCCAAACTGGTCGAAATGGGAACCTGAAAAGCACTGGAAATAAGCAACACCTTAACCAATAAGATGGAGAGACAGAAGTTATAGGTCAGATAACGTAACGGGTATATGATCTTGCAAATTGCATTGGTGGATATAAAGACATTTATGAATGCCAAAGACAATAAGGACAGAATTGCGAGTAAAAGAATAAGGCTTACTTCTCGATTGGAAGCCTTTACAATGGGACTATTCCAGAATTTATAGAGGGCTGCCAGACAAAGTAATGTAGCAACTACACCGAGCGTAGCAAAGGTAAGAATTACAATTCCACTCGCACTACTATAACTTATGTTCGCAGAGGGTAAAGCGACACATTCTGTCTTAGCCTGGTTAGACATTGTTCCGATGGGGCATTCACTGCAACTTTCAGAACCAGCGGATGGGCTGATGGTTCCACCAAGACATGGAAGGCACTGCCAACAACAAGGAGAGGTAAAAGATTTCCTTGTTCCGGGAGGACATTGTTCCGAGCATTCAGATTTGGGAGGGCGACCAGATGTAGTCGTCCAATTCAGGGCTTCATGAAAAATCAAGCGAGTTTTGTTCCTCTTTGAATTTTTCCATTCTCCTATCAGCACCATTTCTATGCTCTCGACATCTCCATTGGGTACTTTTTTAAACCTGAAAATGTCATAATAGGCCGAGCCCCTGTCACCAAATCGATCGAAGTTGATTTTTCCAGTTAGTCCGTGAAAACTGACTTTGCCAAGAAGCTTCTGCACGTCAAAACTATTGGCTACCTGCAATTTCGCCCGATCTTTGGTCTCGTTATAGCTAAAATTTTTATTGAAAATATGTAGTGCATGTGCCACGGTATATACTGCGTCGATGATGTTTGGAACATAGGAGCTGTAGATTTCTTGAATCAAGTCTTTAGTGCATTGCTCAATTTGGCGATGAACACACTTCTTGCTCTTCAAAAGCTTCCATATTTCGCTTGTACTGTAATTCCATTCAGGAAAACTTTTACTGTCTCTCTCCCTGACCAATATATCTTTTAAATATTCCTTGAAACCAGAGTCGCTGAATTCATGGAATAGAAATCCCAAAGAGCTGTCGAGAATACCTTCTACTGGCAGTGTAGAAGTTGAGTGAACCTCGCTCAAAATCCACACACGTCCAGTTAGGTTTTGCCTCTGAACCTCTGCCAAAAACTTCCTTTGGTAATTTTTGTATAGCCATAAGATCACAACTCTGATATTACCCATCTGTTTAAGCTTTCGAACAATGTTCGAAATACTCAGAGTCAGACTTTCGAGCCGTATAAACTCCGTCAAAGCAATACAGAAAGTGCTTTTTCTTGAAGTACTTTCGCTAACTATTGCCCATACTCCATTTCGTCCATACGAATCATCAAGTCCAACGACAGCAACATAACTCCAATTGAAGTGCGTAACCAAGTCAACCATCGCTTTTGCAAGAAAAGTATCCGAAGGCACTGTTCGAAATAAATGATCATAGGTAAGGGAGCTAAGTTCAGCACTAGTAGCTGATCCGCTAATGCTCGAAACATTGAGCATCCG